ACGGCGGGCGCTCCAATGCATTCTCTATGGCTTCCGGGAGGGCTCGCACTAACGTGCTTACGTCATCATACGTAAGCACGTTTCAGTCAACAATATTATTTGTCGCCACCTAGTGGAATCTTTAATAAAAGAAACTGAGTGGATTGTAATAATAGTGAGTATAGAAACAAACAAGATGTATTGTAAGAGTCACTTTATTTTTCATTAATATTAAAGAAGTGAAGTTGCCTTTACATGCTTAAGCTGTTAATTTATCCATTGCATGGGTGAACCTTATCCTTATCAATCATCCAGACATTTGCCCCCCCTGAGAGATTTTGCAGGAGCCGCCACTATTGGTGACCAAGTAATGGTGATGATGTGCGAGTGGTGGATGATGGGCGATGACGATCTTGGCAATGATGGCAATGATGATGATGGCGACAGTGCCGGATGATTCTCATACCAAAAGTAGCCACATATGTAGCTACTTTTGCTACTACACATGTAGTAGCTACATGTGCAGTAGCTACATGCGCAGTAGCTACACGCGCAGTAGCTACACGTGCAGTAGCTACGGGCCCCGCACTTTCAAAGGCCCCGCGCTAAATGCTTTCAAGCTATCAATTCCGGTTCAATGATCCTGCACTTGCTTTATTACTATAGTACTATACTGCCTTAAACTTTTATGAACGACTGGGTGTTTACGGTTAAAGATGTGTCGTGTTGTCTGGCTGTATAGCAAATGAAAAAATACAATTACTTTACTATGCAAGTGAAACATTTTTTGTTTTAATATTTACGTGTTTTTTTATTATTATTTAAGGCCCCTAAATACCATATGCTACAGGCCCTGCACTCGCTTAATCCGGCACTGGGTGGCGATGATGATGATGGCGATGATGATGATGATGATGGCGATGATGATGATGGCGATGATGATGGCGATGATGATGATGATGGCGATGATGATGGCGATGATGATGATGATGATGATGATGGCGATGATGATGATGGCGATGATGATGGCGATGATGATGGCGATGATGATGATGGCGATGATGATGGTGATGATGATGTTGATGATGATGGCGATGATGATGGCGATGATGGCGATGATGATGGCGATGATGATGATGGCGATGATGATGGCGATGATGATGATGGCGATGATGATGGCGATGGCGATGATGACGACGTTGACGAGGTGGTGGCACTGACGCGGTGTCCCCGCCGCACGCAGGAACAGCCTGGGCCCCGTGAAGGAGGGCGAGGCGCAGCACGCCGTGGTGCACTGCACGGGCTACATCAAGGCCTGGCCGCCCGCCGGTGAGACGTTAAAGAGCCCCCAGGGCAGCCCTGCCACACGCCGCCAGCTTGCCAACGCAATGCCCGGCCGCCTTTGTCTCTCTCTCCGAGTGCCGATGTTGACACACGACGCACTGTGTGTGAACGTCAACGCCGAGTTGAGCCAGGGGAGGGCCACTACTGTTGCCCGTGAGCGGGAATCGAACTCGGACCGCCGGAGTTCGTCGCTCAATGCGCTAACCGCTACGCCACCGCTCCCCACAACACACGCACACGACCATGTGCACGCTGACACGCGCACACGCGTCCTGCTCGGGTGTTGTGAGATTTCTAACCATGCACGGTATTTTTGTATCAATAAAATACCAATTTCCGAGGACTCAAGGGGGAGGCAGTGGTGGGGGGGGGGGCTCACCCCCCCCACCACCACCCCTCCATTGGATCCGCCACTGCAATAACTGCAGGTGCACACAAACACACAAAACTAAAAATACGAAGGTCTTCCGTATAGCCTTGAGCAGACTATATCGTGGCAAGGGCTGTTCGAGAGCTCCTATGTAGATTGACACGGCAGACGAGGGTGTGTGTGGCCACGCACCGCGTCAGGTACTCATTTAGGGTTGAGTCGACCGACGGGAGGCTCAGGACTAGATCACATCTTTCGGGAATCGAACTTGGGTCAACCCCGGGTTCATAGCACAGTGCGCTAATCACTGCGCCACCGCTCCCCCCACGCGCACACCGATGCACGCGCTCGCATCGCACTCTGCCAAACTCTCCTCGCTCGCGTGATTCGCTTCTTCCTGTCCTCCTCTTCCCCCCTCGGACCCCTCCCCCTCCCCATCGCCCTGTTTCCCTCTCCCCCTTTTTCTCTCCCCGTCTCCCCCCCCATCTCCCCATCTCCCTCCCCACCTCCCCGTCTCCCCCCCCCCCATCTCCCCCCCATCTCCCCATCTCCCTCCCAACCTCCCCGTCTCCCCCCCCTATCTCCCTCCCCCCCCACCTCCCCGTCTCCCTCCCCATCTCCCCGTCTCCCTCCCCACCTCCCCGTCTCCCCCCCCCCATCTCCCCCCCATCTCCCTATCTCCCTCCCAACCTCCCCGTCTCCCCCCCCCCCCGTCTCCCTCCCCACCTCCCCGTCTCCCCCCCCCCATCTCCCCCCCATCTCCCCATCTCCCTCCCAACCTCCCCGTCTCCCCCCCCCCCCGTCTCCCTCCCCACCTCCCCGTCTCCCCCCCCCCATCTCCCCCCCATCTCCCCATCTCCCTCCCAACCTCCCCGTCTCCCCCCTCTATCTCCCTCCCCCCCACCTCCCCGTCTCCCTCCCGGTCTCTCTCCCCATCTCCCCCCCCCCATCTTCCCCCCATCTCCCCATCTCCCTCCCCACCTCCCCGTCTCCCCCCCCCCATCTTTCTCCCCACCTCCCCGTCTCTCCCCTCCCATCTCCCCCCCATCTCCCTCCCCACCTCCCCGTCTCCCCCCCCCCCGTCTCCCTCCCCACCTCCCCGTCTCCCTCCCCATCTCCTCGTCTCTCTGCTCCCGTTTATTTTCTCCCTCCGCTCGTCCCCCGCCTCCGTCCCTGCTCCCCTCTCTCCCCTCTGCCCGAATAGTTGCGAATGTTGCTGTTTTTCTGCCAGGGCGCCGCAGCTGACGATGCTGCCTCGTGTCACTTTGTTTTGATGTGTTTATAATTTCATAGGGCGCCGCACAGGCACACACTCACACAAAGACACCCCATATAGCTAACGCAGGCTGTTGAGGAAAGTGCTGTTAGCGAGTAGCTATCCACGAAGGTCGGCACAGCGCTCGAGGGATCGGTGTGGCCAGAACCGTGCTCCAACGACCGCCTTCGACTCCACAGTGCTGATGTTTACACAACGCACCAGGTACTATATATTTTCAAGGTTGAGTCCACCTAGGGGAGGCCTTGGACCGATTCAGGTAATGGTCAGTGGTGTTGGCCGCGATCGGGACTCGAACTCGGGTCGCCGGGTTCGTCAGCGCGACACGCGAACCGCTCCCCACGCACACGCGCGCACAGACACGTGTGTATTTTAATAACGCATCTCATGATGCGTGGCGATGTGTGTGCGTGTCAGAGGACACGTGCTGTGTGTGTGTTGTTGTGCGTGTATCTGTTGATGTGTGCAGCTGTGTTTGCTGGCGTGTGTAGGGAGCGGTGGCGCAGTGGTTAGCACATTGTGCTACGAGCTAGGAGACGCGAGTTTGATTCCCGCTCGCGGCCAACACCGGTGACAAATAAATTCACCATTCCTGGGCCTCCCCTAGGTCGACTCAGCCTTAAGTATCCGGTGCTGTAAACATCAGCAATCTGGAGATAAAGGCGGCCGGGCGTGGTGCTCGCCACACCACCCCTCGTGCTCTGTGCCAGTCTTCATCGGTTCTCGCGAACAGGACTTGCCCCGTGGGTCTGATAAAGGCTATACAGGGGATCTTTGTCTGTGTTGTTGTGTGTTGGTGTCTGGCGCAGTGGCTCGCACGTTGCGCAATGAACCCGGTGACCCGATTTAAATTCTGAGCTAAAGGCAACGTCCGTGATGATTGGCGTCTGCAGACCCGGGCTTCCCCTACGTCTACTCGGCCTTAAATGGGTACCTAGTGTGGTGGTAAACACCGCCATTGGGGAAACAGGCATGACGCATCCTGGGAGATTCTGCAGAAACCGACAAAATCCAGACTGTTGGGGCAGGTCACACCGCACACGGCCGCCTTTGTCTCCCCAGTGTTTACACACCGCACCAGGAATTCACTTGAGGCCGAGTGGACCTAGGGGATTGTTATCGGGCACGAGCAGGAATCGCACTCGGGTGGCCCGGGTCCGTGGCGCTGCCGAGTCCACCGCTCCCCAGCGGCGAGGCCGAGTCCACCGCGTGCCCGACAGCCCCCGCAGCAGGCGGCCCCGGCGGGGCACGGCGGGGGGCCGGGCAGAGCGACCCTGCAAACCTCCCCCTCGACCGCGCACCGTGGGGCCCTGGACTCGCGATGCCGCCCTCCCCCAGACCCCCCCCCCCCCCCACCCCCCGCTCTGTAAATCAGCCCCACGTCGCCGGCGCCCTCGCGCCGCCAAGGGCAGCGGTGGTAACGCTCCGGTTTGATGTCTCCGGCCAAAACGCGGCGCACCGAGTCTGACGAGCCCGTCCCAAGCTCTACGCGCCAATGTTGTCTTTGTGTTCGTGCTGTCCGCTTCAGGACAGTGCGTTTCGCTCTCGTCTGGTTGTCGCGCCAGCTGTGGTCGGCGGCAGACGGCTCTGAGCCGGCGCTTTCGAGTGCAGAGGGCCGGCGGATCGCGTGGAGATCTGCGTGGAGTCTCCCGAATCCCTCCCGGGCTACGTGACGGCAGCGCGGCGCGTCGGGTTGGCGAGGATCTCGCGAGCGCTGTGCCCTCTCGTGCGGCCGCGGGGCTCTCCGGGTTTTTCGTCGCCACTGAGCGGAGCTCTCGTCGTCTCGGACGGCGTTGGCCAAATCCCTTGCCAACGCAGCGGGGGATTTCGAGACTCGGCGATGATGTTTTGTAGAGGAGCGATCCACGCCGTGAGTCATCCTACCCTGTCGGTCGGCCCCGCAAGTCACGCTCGCCACGCGGAGCCGAGCAGCGACGCTCGGTACGGAGCTTTACTTGAGCGGCACGAGCGCCTGATCTCGCGTGAATCCGTCGGCTGCGAGCCGGTGTGCCCGGCCTCCTCCGCCAGGTGTCTGCGGCAGGTGCGCCACCTCCCTTCCGCGCAGGCGAGAGCCGTTCCGCGTGGCGTCGAGGCGTGACGGGGGCTTCCCTCTCCTCCTCCCCCTCAGGCATGACCATGACGGAGGAGGACTCGGAGGCGTCGCAAGGGAGCAAGTACTGCCTGGTCGCCATCGGCCGCCTCCAGGTGAATTCGGACGGAGCACCGCATCCAGTAGACCTCTCGCTGTGGGCCGAGACTAATAGTCACGCGGCACCTACTCCAGTCGACAAGCGACCCGGAACATATTGAGTGAGGAATGAAGCCGTCGTGCAAAGTGCCCCGGCACCCACTGGGGCGGCGTCTCCATCCCTTGTCCAGCGGCGAGGCTCTCGTGGTCCGCGTGTGCCAACGTCGTGCCAACGTTGTGCCCGCCGCCCATGTGTTGTGAACCCCCCACTCATTGCGTGTGCCACTGCTGGCAACTCACCGTGCAAGCTGTAAAAGCACGCACTCACACACACACGTACACGCACCAATAATAACCAATGACCGCGATTGGCCACTAAGTGACGTTGACGTCAGCACGGAGCCTGCGCCAGGCCGTGTACACTTCGAGGCCGCGTGAATTCTCGAAGGCTCGCTGGCAGGATGTCACGGGACAGACCCTGCAGGTCCCATGGGTTGACTGAGATGGATGGCAGATGCACCAGTTGTACCTCCTACTGTGCCAACTTGCTGCATTTTATCCGCTCTGCTCGTTGTTGTGAGCGTCGCTCCTCTGCCCTCCATTGTTACTGGAGGGCGAGCGCCTTCAACTCTCCAGTAGCGTCCTTCACGAGCCGATCTTGACACCGCTGGTACCAGTCTTCGACAAGTCCACTCAGCTCCATATCTTCTCTAGCCCGCGTCGCGCCCTTTTAACCCCCTCTATCCGGCCAAACGCACGCACGCGGACACACTGGCACACTCACTCTCGCGGGCGCGTGCATGCCGGCGCGCCGCTTCCTCGCGGGGTGCGCGCTCACACAGCCGGGTGCTGCCCCGGCAACCGGGCAGAGAGAGGCGCCAAGAGCTCTCGCGCGGCCCCGCGCCCAGAGCCGGGGCTGCAGCGCGAGGAGGAGCACCGACCGCCGCTCCAGATGTCCGCGCGCGTGTGTTTAGTTGTTCTCGTTGAGCATCGCAGCTGTTGCCGCGTCGCCCTGGAGCCGACTGCCAGCTGTGCGGTGGATGTGGGGGGGGGGGGGGGCAGAGAGCGGCCGCCCGTGTCCAGTGATGACATCTGGGCGTTTAGATGCGGGGTGCGCGCTTCACCGGGGCGAGTGACGGAGCGATTGCAGCCTGGGGTCCAGGAGTGCGTGGCGTCGTGATGCTGTAACAGAATCGGTACCCTGGGGGCTCACGTGACGTACACTGCAGGGTCCTGACCCCGGGAGTCTTAAATTCTCGCGTGCAGGTGACGAGCTCACCAAACTGCGGGGACATGGCGGCCAGCTCGCTGCCCTCCGAGTTCATCTCCCGCCACAACATCGACGGCGCCTTCACCTTCGTGGACCACCGCTGCTCCGGGGTGCTGGGGTACCAGCCGCAGGTGGGGACCGGTGCCACCCCCCCCCCCGCGTCACACCACCACACACGTCACCACCGCACATGTCACACCACCGCACACGTCACACCACCGCACACGTCACACCACCGCACATGTCACACCACCGCACACGTCATACCACCACACACACCACCGCACACGTCACACCACCGCACACGTCACACCACCGCACACGTCACACCACCGTACACGTCACACCACCACACACGTCACACCACCACACACGTCACACCACCGCAGACGTCACACCACCACACACGTCACACCACTGCACACACCACCACACGTCACACCACACGTCACACCACCACACACGTCACACCACACGTCACACCACCACACACGTCACACCACACGTCACACCACCACACACGTCACACCACCACACACGTCACACCACCACACACGTCACACCACACGTCACACCACCACAGACGTCACACCACCACGCACGTCACACCACACGTCACACCACCACACACGTCACACCACATGTCACACCACCACACACGTCACACCACCACACACCCCACCACACACATCACGCCACCACACACGTCACACCACACGTCACACCACCACACACGTCACACCACACGTCACACCACCACACACGTCACACCACCACACACCCCACCACACACGTCACACCACACGTCACACCACCACACACCCCACCACACACGTCACACCACACGTCACACCACCACACACACCACCACACACATCACACCACACGTCACACCACCACTGGCGATGACGTCGTGCACTGTGCGATGTCAGGAGCTGCTCGGCAAGGATCCCGTCGGATTCTGCCACCCGGAGGATCAGAGCCACGTGCGCGACAGCTTCCAGCAGGTGAGCCGCTGCTTCTGCTGCTACAGCAGCAGCTGCAGCAGCAGCAGCATTAGTAGGAGCACAAGTATCAGAAGTAGCAATAGCAACAGCAGCAGCAGCATTAGTAGGAGCACAAGTATCAGAAGTAGCAATAGCAACAGCAGCAGCAGCATTAGTAGGAGCATAAGTATCAGAAGTAGCAATTGCAATAGCAGCATTAGTAGGAGCACAAGTATCAGAACTGACAATAGCAACAGCAGCAGCAAAAGTGCTACTTGTGCCCGTGCCGTATGTATGTTGAGCTTCTCTCCCAACGTACAGAGGCAGCCGTGCTAGTCGGAGGTGCGGGGAAGGGAAAAAAAAGGAAGGCACTTGCCCCAAAAGTCTGTTAAGGCTACACGGGGGAGCTTTGCCTCGTGTCGCCATGCGTGCGTGGTGCAGGTGCTGAAGCTCAAGGGGCAGGTGCTGTCGGTGATGTTCCGCTTCCGCAGCAAGGGCCGCGAGTGGGTCTGGCTGCGCACGAGCAGCTTCACATTCCAGAACCCCTACTCCGACGAGGTGGAGTACATCGTGTGCACCAACACCAACGTCAAGTGAGTGCGCCCGCTCGCTCCCTCCACTCGCCCACACGCTCGCTCATCAGCCCACTCGCCCTCCCACTCGCTCGCTTGCCTGTCTGCTCACTCACCCACGAGTTCACCCACTCGCACTCCCATGAACTCGCCCGCTCACGTCCACTTGCTCACCCACGAGCACACCCTTCCTCCTACTCGCCTCCCCGATCGCCTGGTCGCCTACACTTTAGTTGTCCCTCTGCTTGCCCCCCTCGCCCTCTCACCCTCTCACCTGTGCCCTCGTGCTCGCCCGTCCGCCCATACGCCCCGCCTGACACTCTGCACTCGCCCCAGCTCCCCGCTCGCCCTCGTGTCAGTGCTCCCATCATGCAGTGCGCAGATTCGCCCTTCTGCCCTCGCACGCCTCAATCTCCCCCATCGCCCTCGTCTCCCCACTCGCCCGCGCATCCGCTCAGCTACCCAGCCACTCACCACTCCCTCGCCCGTTCGCTCGCCTTCCCACCTGCCGTGCCTGCTCACCCTCCCACGCGCTCGCTCTCCCACGCTCCCGCTCGCCCTCCCTCCCACGCGCTCGCCCGTCCGCTCGCCCGTCCGCCCACACGCCAGCGACCCGGCGAGCGGGAGGAAAGTTGGCCGCCGTCTCGGCCGCTGGAGCCACAATGGCAGGAAGCGCCGCGCTGGGCCCTCCACGCGGCGCCCGCGCGGGGCCTCGCTCTGTCTGTCGGGCGGGAGATGGGGTCACGGGGTCACGGGAGGCGAGGACGAGGGGGCGGGGTGCTGCCTCGTGCTGTCACTCACCACGTCACTCAGCTCCCTCTCACCACGACACTCACCACTCACCACGACACTCCGCTCCCTCTCACCACGACACTCACCACTCACCACGTCACTCAGCTCCCTCTCACCATGACACTCAGCTCCCTCTCACCACGACACTCAGCTCCCACTCACCACGTCACTCAGCTCCCTCTCACCACGACACTCACCACTCACCACGTCACTCAGCTCCCTCTCACCACGACACTCAGCTCCCACTCACCACGTCACTCAGCTCCCTCTCACCAACACACTCAGCTCCCTCTCACCACGACACTCAGCTCCCTCTCACCAACACACTCAGCTCCCTCTCACCACGACACTCAGCTCCCTCTCACCACGACACTCAGCTCCCACTCACCAACACACTCAGCTACCTCTCACCACGTCACTCAGCTCCCACTCACCATGACACTCAGCTCCCTCTCACCACGACACTCAGCTCCCACTCACCACGTCACTCAGCTCCCTCTCACCACGTCACTCAGCTCCCTCTCACCACGTCACTCAGCTCCCACTCACCACGTCACTCAGCTCCCACTCACCACGTCACTCAGCTCCCTCTCACCACGACACTCAGCTCCCTCTCACCACGTCACTCAGCTCCCTCTCACCACGTCACTCAGCTCCCACTCACCACGTCACTCAGCTCCCACTCAACACGTCACTCAGCTCCCTCTCACCACGTCACTCAGCTCCCTTTCACCACGTCACTCAGCTCCCTCTCACCACGTCACTCAGCTCCCACTCACCACGTCACTCAGCTCCCACTCACCACGTCACTCAGCTCCCTCTCACCACGACACTCAGCTCCCTCTCACCACGTCACTCAGCTCCCTCTCACCACATCACTCAGCTCCCTCTCACCACGTCACTCAGCTCCCACTCACCACGTCACTCAGCTCTCTCTCACCACGTCACTCAGCTCCCTCTCACCACGTCACTCAGCTCCCTCTCACCACGTCACTCAGCTCCCTCTCACCACGACACTCAGCTCCCACTCACCATGACACTCAGCTCCCTCTCACCACGACACTCAGCTCCCACTCACCACGTCACTCAGCTCCCTCTCACCATGACACTCAGCTCCCACTCACCATGACACTCAGCTCCCTCTCACCACGTCACTCAGCTCCCTCTTAACACGACACTCAGCTCCCACTCACCACGACACTCAGCTCCCACTCACCACGTCACTCAGCTCCCACTGACCACGTCACTCAGCTCCCTCTCACCACGTCACTCAGCTCCCTCTCACCACGTCACTCAGCTCCCTCTCACCACGACACTCAGCTCCCTCTCACCACGTCACTCAGCTCCCTCTTACCACGACACTCAGCTCCCTCTCACCATGACACTCAGCTCCCACTCACCACGACACTCAGCTCCCACTCACCACGTCACTCAGCTCCCTCTCACCACGTCACTCAGCTCCTACTCACCACGTCACTCAGCTCCCTCTCACCACGACACTCACCACTCACCACGACACTCCGCTCCCTCTCACCACGACACTCACCACTCACCACGTCACTCAGCTCCCTCTCACCATGACACTCAGCTCCCTCTCACCACGACACTCAGCTCCCACTCACCACGTCACTCAGCTCCCTCTCACCACGACACTCACCACTCACCACGTCACTCAGCTCCCTCTCACCACGACACTCAGCTCCCACTCACCACGTCACTCAGCTCCCTCTCACCAACACACTCAGCTCCCTCTCACCACGACACTCAGCTCCCTCTCACCAACACACTCAGCTCCCTCTCACCACGACACTCAGCTCCCTCTCACCACGACACTCAGCTCCCACTCACCAACACACTCAGCTACCTCTCACCACGTCACTCAGCTCCCACTCACCATGACACTCAGCTCCCTCTCACCACGACACTCAGCTCCCACTCACCACGTCACTCAGCTCCCTCTCACCACGTCACTCAGCTCCCTCTCACCACGTCACTCAGCTCCCACTCACCACGTCACTCAGCTCCCGCTCACCACGTCACTCAGCTCCCTCTCACCACGACACTCAGCTCCCTCTCACCACGTCACTCAGCTCCCTCTCACCACGTCACTCAGCTCCCACTCACCACGTCACTCAGCTCCCACTCAACACGTCACTCAGCTCCCTCTCACCACGTCACTCAGCTCCCTTTCACCACGTCACTCAGCTCCCTCTCACCACGTCACTCAGCTCCCACTCACCACGTCACTCAGCTCCCACTCACCACGTCACTCAGCTCCCTCTCACCACGACACTCAGCTCCCTCTCACCACGTCACTCAGCTCCCTCTCACCACATCACTCAGCTCCCTCTCACCACGTCACTCAGCTCCCACTCACCACGTCACTCAGCTCTCTCTCACCACGTCACTCAGCTCCCTCTCACCACGTCACTCAGCTCCCTCTCACCACGTCACTCAGCTCCCTCTCACCACGACACTCAGCTCCCACTCACCATGACACTCAGCTCCCTCTCACCACGACACTCAGCTCCCACTCACCACGTCACTCAGCTCCCTCTCACCATGACACTCAGCTCCCACTCACCATGACACTCAGCTCCCTCTCACCACGTCACTCAGCTCCCTCTTAACACGACACTCAGCTCCCACTCACCACGACACTCAGCTCCCACTCACCACGTCACTCAGCTCCCACTGACCACGTCACTCAGCTCCCTCTCACCACGTCACTCAGCTCCCTCTCACCACGACACTCAGCTCCCTCTCACCACGACACTCAGCTCCTTCTCACCACGTCACTCAGCTCCCTCTTACCACGACACTCAGCTCCCTCTCACCATGACACTCAGCTCCCACTCACCACGACACTCAGCTCCCACTCACCACGTCACTCAGCTCCCTCTCACCACGTCACTCAGCTCCTACTCACCACGTCACTCAGCTCCCACTCACCACGACACTCAGCTCCCACTCACCACGTCACTCAGCTCCCTCTCACCACGACACTCAGCTCCCACTCACCACGTCACTCAGCTCCCTCTCACCATGACACTCAGCTCCCACTCACCACGTCACTCAGCTCCCTCTCACCACGACACTCAGCTCCCTCTCACCATGACACTCAGCTGCCACTCACCACGACACTCAGCTCCCTCTCACCATGACACTCAGCTGCCACTCACCATGACACTCAGCTCCCTCTCACCACCACACTCAGCTCCCTCTCACCACGACACTCAGCTCCCTCTCACCACGACACTCAGCTCCCACTCACCACGACACTCAGCTGCCACTCACCTCCACACTCAGCTCCCTCTCACCACGACACTCAGCTCCTCTCACCATGACACTCAGCTCCCACTCACCACGACACTCAGCTCCCACTCACCACCACACTCAGCTCCCTCTCACCACGACACTCAGCTCCCTCTCACCACGACACTCAGCTCCCTCTCACCACGACACTCAGCTGCCACTCACCTCCACACTCAGCTCCCTCTCACCACGACACTCAGCTCCCTCTCACCATGACACTCAGCTCCCACTCACCACGACACTCAGCTCCCACTCACCACCACACTCAGCTCCCTCTCACCACGACACTCAGCTCCCTCTCACCACGACACTCAGCTGCCACTCACCTCCACACTCAGCTCCCTCTCACCACGACACTCAGCTCCCTCTCACCATGACACTCAGCTCCCACTCACCACGACACTCAGCTCCCACTCACCACCACACTCAGCTCCCTCTCACCACGACACTCAGCTCCCTCTCACCACGACACTCAGCTCCCTCTCACCACGACACTCAGCTGCCACTCACCTCCACACTCAGCTCCCTCTCACCACGACACTCAGCTCCCTCTCACCATGACACTCAGCTGCCACTCACCATGACACTCAGCTCCCTCTCACCACCACACTCAGCTCCCTCTCACCACGACACTCAGCTGCCACTCACCTCCACACTCAGCTCCCTCTCACCACGACACTCAGCTCCCTCTCACCACGACACTCAGCTCCCACTCACCACGACACTCAGCTCCCTCTCACCATGACACTCAGTTCCCTCTCACCACGACACTCAGCTCCCACTCACCACGACACTCAGCTCCCACTCACCACGACACTCAGCTCCCTCTCACCATGACACTCAGCTGCCACTCACCTCCACACTCAGCTCCCTCTCACCACGACACTCAGCTCCCTCTCACCACGACACTCAGC